TGCGTACATCGTGGACGTTTGCATCATGATCGGATTGCACCCAACCGTACGCTTCTAGTTTCTGGCGAAGTACTGATGCTCTTGTGAGATAGCGCCGGCGCTCTTCCCCTACTTGCTGCTTCAACGAGTACCACTGCCCCTGCAACTCCAACTTGTCCGGTTCTGCGTGCACTCGGTAAAAGTTGAGAAATCGATCCCACGATTCAGTGGGGCAACCACTAGCTAGGATTGCAGGACTATTGTCGGTACTTGTATCTTGGATATGTTCAGCTGCCAAGCCTTAACCGCCCGATCTGCAGCTTCCGTCTCATGCTCCACCTTCGATGCCGAGATATTCGCAATCGTCTTCCCAACACGAATCGTGTCCTTCGATTCTATTGCCCCAAGGCAACGCTCCTGCTCCAACAAAGATCGAAATTGACTGGTAAAAACCATTACCGCCGTCTGAACATCGTCCTCGGGGCTAAGCTTCCCGGTGAAGGCAGGGATTGTGATACCTGCGCTAATGCGTATAGTTTCTTTAGGGGTTGGGACTTCCCTTTATTCATCCTCCGGTTTAATCTTGACCCTCTGCAAGGCCCGCGCGAGGGGGTCGATGAGGCCGACGTCCGCCGGCGATCGGGGCTGGTCTTCGGGTCGCGGGCTTGACTCCGAGCCAGCCGTCCTCTCCAGCCGGGTGTCGCCTCTTTCCAAAGGCATGCCCTCGCTCTGTGCTGTGGGGCGCTGTGCTGCTGCTGCTTCTTCTTCTTTGATCTTGACCTGCTCCTTGATAAGAGCGTCGATTACGTTTCGCTGCTCGTCCGAGAGCTGGAGCTCATCCAGCTGCTGCTCCATGATTTCCGTGTCACTGTTCTCTGGCCGAACCCTTTTGTAGCTAGCCCCACATCGGGATCCCGTATGATATCACACGCTAGCGTGTTAGGATAATCCGAACTGGGAGTAGCTTTTCGCAAGACGTGTGTTGAATAGGGTGTCGGCAACTCGGCGGGCTTGTGCCGAGGAGAAAAACTTGTTGTGATTAGTTGCATCCACATACACACACAAGCCCCGTTGAGGGGGCGACGCCGTATGCAACAGGGGTACCTTGTACATCCCTTGAATCCATTCTACGTACCACACATGTCACCCGGTATTCCGCTCTACCTCATTCCATTTGATCATCCCGCACCAACCTCTTGGCATTGCTACAAGTATATCTATCATAGTGGTGCAGCGCAAGCTCTCCTGGGGCATGGAGAATGGGGTATTTTGCGATGCATCTACAACCCTANTATATGACAGGGGTACCTCGTACATCCCTGGAATCCTTTCTACGTACCACACATGTCACCCGGTATTCCGCTCTACCTCATTCCATGGGAACATCCCGCACCAACCACTTGGCATTGCTACAAGTATATCTATCAGTCTGCTACTCGCTGTCAGTACAAAAGTGACTGCTCTAATGTGCAGGGTGACGAGGCAAAAAGCACCGGTAGCGCAAAGAGCGTGCCTGGCCATGGCTG